AACTTTCAACTTAAATTATACGTAAACTATTGAGTGTAGCAACCTGAGGACGTTTGTACGCAACAGAGAACATTTTAAAGTAACTTTCAACTTAAATTATACGTAAACTATTGAGTGTAGCAACCTGAGGACGTTTGTACGCAACAGAGAACATTTTAAAGTAACTTTCAACTTAAATTATACGTAAACTATTGAGTGTAGCAACCTGAGGACGTTTGTACGCAACAGAGAACATTTTAAAGTTGGCATTTTGCGCTCACAAGAACGTATCCTTTTTGGGAAGTAGGCTGGTGATAATATTGCTCCGGTTACTTATGTTATTAATTATACTAATATTATCATATTATAATTGTATTATTAGTATACCAGTAATATTGCTTACTCATGTCATGGCGGTAGAGGTTTAAAGCAGCAAGTTGAAGTTTGATATCCAGCTAGCTGTAAAATACTATGATGTCTAGAATCGGCAGCAAGCGTATCGTGGCTAAATCTCAATCATAGACTGTAAAAACGTGCTACTTCTTGGAGCCAGTTGGTCAAGTTGGAACTTCGGTTTGAACTGCTGTACAGAATTTGCTTGAACTAAGTATGTGTGTATTATATGAAAGGAACGTGAATAGGGAACCGACGATGTAGCGTGTCCTGGGGCTGCTACGTCCGAAACATATTGACGATTAGAATTAGAAACATACTGAACTATCCAGTTGAATAGTGAACTTTCCAATTAAACATCGAACTTAGTAGTCAAATACTGAACTTTACAAACAAATACAACTCAAGCTTTCAGTCGAATACTTAACTTTCCAGTCAACCACTGAACTTTTCAGTCAAATAATGAACTTTCTCAGATAAATACCAAACTTTCCAATCAAATACTTTGTATAATTAGAAATAAAACGTCGAGTTTCAATTACTGGAATAATTTATTTATACAGACACAGGAGGATAATATACAGCACCGCTAACCGCACACAAGATAATACATAAAAAATTAAATGTCCTTTTGTCGAGCAAAAAAATGTAAGGAAACGAGTGGAAGTTTGAGGAGCAGAACTAAGGAGAGAGTTAAGGAGAAGGTAACTGATGAGGTATTAACACCAAATGAGGGCTAAAGGGCTCAGTAGAACCCATTAAGTAGTCTCATTAGAGACTCTGCACAAACCCATTAGGTCATCTCATTAGACTTCGCAGGAACCCATTAGGTCGCCTCATTAGACTTTGCACGAGCCCATTGGACTGTGCACAAACCCATTAGGTCATCCCATTAGAGGCTTCGCACGAGTCCATTGGACTGTGCACAAACCCATTAGGTCATCTCATTAGAGACTTCGCACGAGGCCATTGGACTGCGCACGAACCCATTAGGTCATCTCATTAGAGACTCCGCACGAGGCCATTGGACTGCGCACGAACCCATTAGGTCATCTCATTAGAGACTTC